GGTCTCTGCAAGGAAGGGCAGGGGGAGCAGCCTCCCGGGTCTCTGCAGGGAAGGGAAGGGCGGGGGTGCAGTCTCCTGGGTCTCTGCAGGGAAGGGCAGGGGAGCAGCCTCAGGGCCTCTGCAAGGAAGGGCAGGGGGAGCAGCCTCCCGGGTCTCTGCAGGGAAGGGCCCGTGGGCCCAGCTGGGGCTGGCGTGGGCGGCTGTGACAGAGGGCTGCGGATGCAGGGCTTCCGGGGAGCCAGGCCTTCTATTTATAGACCCGGTTAGAGTTTCTCTCGCAGCAGTTTGTTAACCTGGATGTTGATGCGTTTCCTAGATGCTCCCCGCGGCTCAAAGGCTGCAACTTCTAAGTAGATGCCCTCAGAGTCTCCTTCCATCCATGACCCCTGGTGTTAAATCTAGCCTGTGGTCACTCATCGGTCCTCGGTGAAGACCAAGCGCTGGTTGCCCCGTCCATGAACCATAAACTTAATTATAAACACAGCAGCTTTTGCTTAGTGGGTGCTGACCCTGTGCTGGACACCAGCTGAGTTCTTTATAGATATAGTCCCTTATTTTGACACCACATTTAAAAAAATAATAACAAATAAAATAAAGTTATTTTAAAAAACAGTCCCTTATTTAACAGATTAACAAATGGAATTTACTACTGAGATTTTCATTTGACCTAGATTGGTGTTATTATAATCCACTTAGTTAAAGCCACTTTAAACACCCCCCCCCAGCTCTCCCTGCCTTCCCCGGGAGCAGGTCTACACTGAAGTTAAGGCCATTCTCTCCCCGAGGGGCGGCTCTTTCCTGGACAGTTGCTCGCCCCCCAAGACTGCAGCCTCCTTACCCGGCACTTCCCTAGGGTCCTGCGACGCCAGCTGCCAGGCTTTCCCACCTCGGCACTGCTGACACCTGGGCATTCACCTGGCACTGTGGGCCCTCAGCAGAACCCTGGCCCCCCACTCCCACGGCCCCTCCTCCCATCGGCTTGCGGAAGGTCCCCTTGGGGTGGCGTTGTCCTGCTGATGACCACTGTGCTGATCTAACCGCCTTTTTATAACTTTAAAATTCCCCTTTCCTTCCTAGTAAAAAGCCTGGCCCCGAGCGCTGGTCCCATACTGTTCGGTGGGCCTTACGTTGTTTGAATAGATACAGGAACTTCTTCCTGCTCCACTTGACCATGGAGAGCCGGAGCATGAGGAAGATCAGCAGGAACACCGCCGCGGCCGAGGTCAGCGCCAGGAAGAAGGTGAGGACCTGCG